ACATCAACACTCCCTCCCAACTCGGTGTCATGCTTTTGGGCACCTCCATGGGTTTCTCTTTTCCTCAAGCCATACGGTGGCTTCTTGGTACCACCCCACCCGCATCCTTAACCTCTGCTTCCCGAGGTAGCTCCATCCTTTCCCACGGGCGCGTGCCCGGGAGCAGCACACCCCCTCCAAAATGTGAGTGACCTGCATCTCCTGACCTTCACCTTCCTGATGCTGGCAGTCCCCATTGGAGGAAGGCTTCTTTTCCTTTTCTGGGTCTATTTATGGCCTCCTGATCCTTGGCTGGGCCAAGTTTGAGGTCTCAGATACCCCCTGCGGAGGCAACTGGCCAGGAGCGCAAAGAAAACAACTGATTTGCATGCGTATTTACATAAGCCTGTGTGAACTTCATGACCGGTTGCATTCCCTTCGTCCAGTTAAGGGCATTAAGGAGAAATTCCACATTTTAAATCTCTGAATTAATCTCGAGTGACAAACTGCAGATTGCAGTTCTTTTCCTTCAATCCATCTCCAGCTTTCCTCTGGATGTCCACGTTTTGTTTCGCTGTGTTTTCTCGGAGCCTTTCTGCGTGTTTTCTTTTTCCTCTTTCTGTTTTCGCTCTGCATTTACCCACCCCCTCCACCCCGTTCTCTCACGCATCGTGGTCTTGTTTGTGCAAATGGACTTTGCTTCTGAATTTCGATGAGGCTTAAATGAGTCAACGGCCCGGGAGAGACCAAAAGTCGCCGTCTCCTCTTTCCAGATGTTGCTTGAAGATCCTTTGATGCTTGAAGCAAACAGCAGATGATGCTTTTCGGGGCGACCTTGTCTCCTAAGAGAGAAGAAAAGCCGGCGCTGGGGGCTTCTGGTCAGGGTGGCCAACAGCCAACCCTCCTCAGGAGACAGCAGCCGAGAGTACAGGGTGTGCAGGGGCTGAATTTGGGACTATGGGATGAGCCTTCTGCTTCCTGGGTTAGTTTGGGAGAGATGAGAGTTGGGAGCATGGGTTTGACATTAGGGAGGAGTTGAAGCTTTGATGTAGGGAGTGAGGATCATTGCAATCCTCAGAGGACAGCCCTGCTCTGCCTTGGTTTGTGTTTTCTTCCGTTCCTTCATGTGCTTCCTCAAACTTCTTCAGACCACACATGGGCCTTCCCAGACCATCTGCCAGTCCTCCGCCGCCTCCCCTCTTTGTTTTCCAGGTGATTAAATAAGAAATAGCGCCATGATCCCTCCACCCACCCCCAACAAAACCCCCAGCCCTCGCTGCACATTTGCAGCGCAGCTGTGACTCGGTTGTGTTTTCCCTATTTTTTTTTAGATGGAGTGTTTTGTAATTAGGTATCTGTGGCTGGCTTATCTGCTTATTTGGCTCTTTGCAGATAGCACCATCTGTTTTCCCCTTCACCTCACTTCCACTTGCTGGTCTCAAAGTTCATGTCAAAGGTTTCAGAGTGGTTTTATTTCCGTACGGGGGAAGAGAAGCCAAAAAACGCAAGAGCAGGTGTTGCTCGTTGGGTCTATAGTTTCCAACAGTTACAGAAGTGCCGGTTGTTTCGGGTTGGTACCCCAGGAGAGATCACTTTTACAAACTGCTTGGCTTCCAAGCACAGGTGCATACGATGCCAGCAAATCGCCGCTTGCAGATGGCTCCGTTTCAAGACCTCCAAACCATCCTCTCCCGCTGGAGCTGAGGATGGAGGCTGGGATTTTGGGTGACAACCTGTGCTCAGTGACCTTGCTTCATCACCTGCGTCTGTTAAAATCTGTTAAAACTGGTGGCATGAGCCAGAAAATAGGGGCTGGTGGTTTGATTGCTGTCACTGGGGCCTCTTCATGCGTGAAGATTTGGTCTGAGGACCATGAAGTCTTGACATGACGAAGATCTTTCCAAGAGTTGTCTTATAATCAGGCAAGATCGAGGGTTCGGTGGCCAACCATGGGCTGATCTCGCCATCGCAAGCCTGGAAACAAAAAATACAAGGAATCCTCTGTGGTGCTTGGGGTCTTCTTTTTATTTGGCAAACATCCTTCCTTGGGACGTCTGTTTGAGACAGCAGACGTCGCAGTGACCTTATAGACCTTTAGCCGCTATCCCTTGGTTAGTTAAGGGGTCTTTTTTCCTTACGCCAAGGATATCTTTGGCTGCTCCATGACTAAGATGGTCACACATCACTGAGAAGAGGCATTAAAAGCTCCCAGCCCCACCGTTTGAGCCTTTCTCTGGCAGCATCCGAACTGAGGAGCGGTGGTAGGGAAACGGCGGATGCCTCCTGATGCCGATCCCTTTGGAGGCTTCCAGGTCTGACTCTCAAAAATGAGGTTTTCTAAGCCTGATGCAGGCTGGGGACAGTTTGGGTATTCAGTCACAGAGGCTGTAAATACTGAAAACCTTCAAAAAAGAGCAGAGCTGTTGTGCTGGGTAAAGGGCTGTTAGGAATAAAAAGTCCTAAGTAAGATGCAGCATTCAAAGCTGCTATTAAACTGTCTTGGTGTCTGCTTTTAGAGGCAGAACAGGAACAAAACTCTCTTACAGAGATCTCAGTTGTGTAGGCAGAGCTCATACCAGTGCACGGGCACATGGCGAGGAATTTTCTGCGTGACATTGCTGTGACTGTTGCTGTTTATCCCATGTGCTTTTCTCTCTTGTATTTTTCCCCTAGGTTCTGCTGTTTGGCAGCTGATCGCGTCCTTCTTGAAACTCCCGATCTCGGGGACCCATTGCATCGTGGGCGCTACCATCGGCTTTTCCCTGGTCGCCATCGGGACGCAGGGGGTCCAGTGGATGCAGCTCGTCAAGATCGGTAAGCGCCGTTGATTTGTGTGCACACATTGCCTGCAAAAAAGCACTCCCAAAAATCTGCCTTGTGTTGATACCACTCCCTCTTTACATTATTTTATACCCCGGTCCTATCGTGCAGAAGATGCACAGATGCTGTGTTCATTAAGGGCTGTGGTGTCCCTCAAAAATCAGCTTCAAGGTGACATTTCCCCTCTTCTCATTCCTCTGGTGGCAGCTCACATCACCTCATTCTTGCTCTCGGGGCAGGCACCCACACTCATGGTTTTCCACCCACCGCCAGGAACAGCCCGGCCAAGCAGGGACGTGAAGGACTTCTCCGTATTTTTTTGGAAGCCTTGCAGCCGGAGTCACAGCCTAAATTAGAAAGGTTTGATGCTGAAGGCACAGAAATACAGTTGAGCCTTAGAGAAGTTGGAGCAATGCGTAATTTATTTTTAAATTCTGTCGAAAGTAGAGGAGAGTTTGCGGTGAGAGCAGAATCAAGCTGGTAACTGTGCCACAAACAATAAATCACTCGGGATGAGATTTTCAGAGCGCTGCCTTAATCCGGTTTTATTGAAATCAGTGGGAGTTTTGCCACCTCCTTCAGTTAAATCGGTCCCGGACACTTGCAAATCTGGCCTGCAAAAAATGCGTGCGCGTTATTCATTACAGTCGATGCTTCTGCGGCATTTTGGAAAAGGAGACTTCTACCCCGCGAGCAGCACGGCATCCTGCTAAATGTGGTTACTTCCCACTTGCTTGCAGCATTCCTGGTGTGGTGATGAGGAAATTACAGGGGCTTGGCCCACTTTGCATCAAACTAGAACAAAATTTCCCAATTAATGATGTTTCTAACAGTGCCTGGCGTTACCTTGACTTTCCTAAGTGTCAGTGGACTTTGAGCTGCACCAGTTATAAGCAAACATAGGGAACATTATTCCAGAAGTGTTTTAAATGTCTTGCTCATTGACTTATTGAACTCTTATGCAAGTAATGCTCTTCATGTCACCTTCTGTCTTTTTTTTCAATGCAGTTGCCTCTTGGTTTATTTCCCCGCTGTTATCTGGCTTGATGTCCGGAGTCCTCTTTGTGCTGATTAGATTCTTCATTTTAAACAAGGTAAAGGAATCCCAGTGTTGTAACAAGTGCTTGATACCAAGGCTGTGCTCTCGCCTTGCAATATGAGCGCTGGCATTGCCCCAGTTGAAATTTGTGGCTTGTTTCATGGACAGGAAACCAGTCTTTTATATATATATACACACATATATACACATATATATACACACACACACATACATATATATATTCATTATATATATATGTATATATGTATGTATTTGCTCATAGCAATCCTAAAGCCTCCAGTAAGCAGCTTGCCGAGTATTTGAGACTTAGAAGCTGCTACATGATAATTAACATTGTCTATTCTGTGTCATTGAAGGATGATAAATTTAGGTTGCTTCTTTATTAGTACAAACGTGTTGGCGTTGATTTATGCTAGCCCTTCTGCCTGTTATTTAAACAGAACGGCCCTCCCTTGGAGATACTCCGTACTTACATAGCTGTGAAATTTAAAATCAGGCATTAGGAGGTGGGCATCTGTGCATTTCCTAGATTCTCAAAAAAACCCCTGGAGTCACTGGGTTTTAGTGCCCTCAGCCAAAAGTGGCAGCTTTGAGGTAACACCAGCCCGTAAATCTCCAGCATAGAAGAGGATTCTCTTGCCACCCAGCATGGACTGGAAACCAGAATGCTTTTATCTGCTCTTTCTGTTTCTCTCACACCATTCAAGTTGCTAAAGTGGAGGAGTGCAGCGCATGACAATGACCTAAAATAAGGGACTCTGTATTAGCAGTTACACAGGGAACTTAAATAGATGAGGGATTAATTCTTTTGCTATAAATACCACCACCTGTAACCTCGGCTTCATCATCCTTTATTTCTGAAGTAAATAAATGTCAGCGGTAAAAGCAGAGGATAAACTTGAACGGACTCAGCTTTGAATTTAAAACTACTTGAGTTCCATAGAGGTCGAGGAAAACCTCCTCTATTGCATTCAGACCCCAGCAACTTCAGAAATCAGCCATCAGAATCACGCGAGCCCTGGTGTGAAACCCACATATTTAAACATTCAAGAGGCAGGAAAAGTTCAAGCGCAGGAAATTGTCTCCTGACTGCCATCCGTGCCGTTCACAAAGACCTTGGCCAGTGTGCAGGAGCCCCTCCAAAGGCCGGGGCAGCCTCCTCACAAAGACCTTTTCTATGGTTCGCGGGGCGCGTTTCCGCTGCGCCGGCAGCTGAGCCTTTCCCGGGCAGTGCCAAGGGCACGAGGCCGCGGCGGGCGAAACCGCGTTACCTGTTTAATACAGCCAGACACTGCACATTGCATTTATTTTGGTTCACTGGGAGACAGAGCCAGGCTGTTTCAGTCAAAATGTAGAGGTTAGGAATGAAGTTTTAGGATGGCCGAGTCGCGCTGATGCTTGTAGGCCCCCTCCCCAAAACATATCAAAGCTGTGTCCTGCTCATGCAGTGCCAGGGACTCCTCATTTGGGAGATGTGAGAGGTAAGAAAACACTCACAGAATAAAACCCTGCAGGTCTGCAAGTAAAACCTGTCCTGCTGCTTCCCATTAACAGGGTCAGGCTTCCCCAAAATGCTGCTGGGGCCAGCGCTGCGGGTTTGGGTGTAACCGGACAGGTCACCATCCTAGCACTGACGTGACCATGCGCGTTTTCCTCGTGGTGCTTCACGCTGACATTAATCTGGTGGAAAAATCCAGCTAATATTTCCTTTTCCCCCCCGATTTCCATGCAGGAAGATCCTGTGCCCAACGGTCTCCGCGCCCTCCCGGTGTTTTATGCTGCTACCATCGCTATTAACGTGTTTTCCATTATGTACACGGGAGCACCAGGTAAATGAGCCGTCCTGTGTCCTGTCAAATCTGGCACGGAGCCCCTTAGTTTAAATTTACTTCTTTATTTCCCTTCAATAATAAGAAGCCCCGAGCTCCTTTCTGTATTTCATGCATCTTCGCCCTTGGATGCTGCGTTTTCATTGCAACTGTAGTATAAGGAAATGATGTGTGTCATTTTCAGGACTTTCTTTATGTTTATATTTGAATATTTGTGTATTTCATGTGCATTTATATGATTGTGGTTATATATTTATATTTATGTTTATATCTGAGATATATATATCATATATATTAATGTGCCCTTGTGGCCAAGAAGGCCAATGGCATCCTGGGGTGTATCAGGAGGGGTGGTTGTAGGGCAGAGAGGTTCTCCTGCCCCTCTGCTCTGCCCTGGTGAGACCGCGTCTGGAATATTGCGTCCAGTTCTGGGCCCCTCAGTTCAAGAAGGACAGGAACTGCTGGAGAGAGTCCAGCGTAGGGCTACAAAGATGATCAAGGGAGTGGAGCATCTCCCTTCTGAGGAGCGGCTGAGGGAGCTGGGGCTCTTTAGTTTGCAGAAGAGGAGACTGAGGGGAGACCTCATTCATGTTTATAAATATTGAAAGGGTGAGTGTCACGAGGATGGAGCCAGGCTCTTCTCGGTGACAAACAATGATAGGACAAGGGGTAACGGACACAAACTGGAACACAGGAGGTTCCACTGAAATTGGAGAAGAAACTTCTTCTCAGTGAGGGTGACAGAGCCCTGGCCCAGGCTGCCCAGAGAGGTTGTGGAGTCTCCTTCTCTGCAGACATTCAAAACCCGCCTGGACGCCTTCCTGTGTAACCTCATCTGGGTGTTCCTGCTCCGGCAGGGGGATTGGACTGGATGAGCTTTTGAGGTCCCTTCCAATCCCTGACGTTCTGGGATTCTGTGATTCTGTGTGATATATGTATGTATGATATTTTTATATTTGTGTTTTTATATTTATACTTATGTGTTTATGTTTATATAGTTGCATTTATGTGTTTATATTTAAAGCGTTGTATATTTAAGCACTGACTGGCAGCAGAAGAGTTGAGGAAAATGCTGTTCAATGCTCTCGACTACTTTCTTGAAGAGTCTGGTCATTAAATGCAGTCATTGGATTACATTATTGCCCCAGAGCTGGGAATGATCAAAGAATTGAAGAAAGACCCCTGAACATGCCCCTCAAATTAAGAAAACACGTTTAGAAAGTGACCTTTTTTGAGTGGAAATTTGTTTTCTCTAAAACCTGACGTAATAAATGCAATGGGTAGACTCTATTTTACAGCATAGCGTTACTGAAATTCATAAAAAGCCCGAGAAGTTCCCACTTGGAGGGCAAGGTAACTCAACTATTCCTTTTTTTCTTGAGTCAAAATCCTCCTTGGCTCCGTACCCGAGATGTCTCACGGTAAATCAGCTGTATAACCAACATTTCCTCATTAGCTGCACTGCAGAAGTAGGTCAGGCACTCTGCGGTGACTCATTAAGCAAAATAAATGAAATAAGAACCTTAATGTCCCTTCTGTTGCAGCTTAGCAGTCTCTGAGGTGCCTGAATAAAAAGGTGGGACTCAGGTTTTGATACTCAAGAAGTACATATTTACTCTCCAAGGCCTCTTGAAGCCGTTATCGTAAGCAGATAACAGCTTTATTGACCCGAGCAAAGGTCAGGTAAATGTTTACTCCCGTGAGTGACACAGTTTAGCAGGAATTTGGGCACAAAGGCACTGTTTTAGCAGCCCCGATGGGGAGTTTTGCCCCTGACATGGTTGTGTTTGGGGTAACAGCAAACTGGAGGACTAAATCTGCAAACGTTTGAACTTTAAATACCGTGCTGACTGATGTATATGTTAAAAACGATCATTTATGTTGATTTTGAATGCGTTTCTGCAACTGGTTGCTCTTCCAGTGCCGGAGATAACAAAGTCCTGTTAATTTACCAAGTTTGCTTGGGTTTTCTTTCTTTGTCTCCGCAGTTCTGGGGCTGGTGCTGCCCATGTGGGCCATCGCTCTCATCTCGGTCGGCGTATCCGTGGTATTTGCCATCTTAGTCTGGATTTTCGTGTGCCCCTGGATGAAGAGAAAAATAGAAAGTGAGTGAGTGAGGTAAAATCAGGGAAAATTTCATTGCAGAACTGGAAGTGCCCTTGAGAGGTCACCCAGTCCCATCCACACCCACAGGCAGGATGTGCTTAAACCAAACCATTCCTCATGTATTTGTGTAACCTGCTCTTAAAAACCTGCAGTGGTAGGAATTCAAAACCTCGCTGGGTCATCCCTCGCAGCGTTGGCTTCTTCCATAGCCTGGCAGAAACAGGAAAATAAATCCTGGAGTATAATCCCTTTTATATTTTGTTAAGGAAACCTTAAAGAGAAAAATAAATCTGGCAGAGTTATTATCTTTAGGTGACTTTCACTTTACAGTAAGTTGGAGTGATCACAGCTTTTACCTTCACAGCATTTTGCTTTGCTGCTTTCAACAAGTGAAGCTTTAAAAACACAGAGAAAAGTTTCAGCTTTCATCAATACATGAGCAGCTTTTGGTGTTTTTTACTTTAGTTACTTATTTCGGCGAATTTACAGGAAGGACCCAAGCTGCTCTAGAGTTTTCTCAGATGAATTTAGCGAAGGCAAGCGTTAGAAATAATTAACACGTCTGAAACGGAGCCAGGTTATCGTGTCCGCGCCGATGCGAAGAGTGGAAACACAAACAGCCGCGAGGGATAGGTTGGGTTTAAAATTACAGCCCCGTTGTTTCCTTAGGCCGGTTAAAGAAAGATGCGGCGCTGTCGAGGATATCGGATGAAAGCCTTGATAAAATCCAGGACGAAGAAACGCCGGTCTTTAAAGAGCTTCCCGGTGCCAAAGCATCCGACGAGAGCACGATCCCCCTTACCGGTGCCGTAACTGAAGCTGCTGGGGCATCGGATGCCATCGCAAATGGAAACCACCCGCGTGTGCCCTATGGTAAGAAAACCAAGGCAACGCGGAGGTTTCTCCTCTCTCTTTTTCCATAGGATTTCTGTCAGACCCTGTTGTAAATGGTAAGGCCAAGTGGCAGGTCCTGCACTTGGGTCGCAATAACCCCA